AAGTAAACCCATACCCACAATTCAAACACTTTCCACCTTAAGGACTAAAAGAGGGAGACACATTTTTGTGAATTACTTAAAGCTATTATCAAATCTCCTAGAACTACCTACCAATCAAAACTTTCTAAGTTATACAGTCTAGCTAATAAAGATATTATGTAAATAAAATTGTTAACCAGCTACAAGCTTTTAAAAGATTTTTTTCAAAAATATCCATTTAAGAACTTTGCACCTTATAGTTTCATGAATTAATACAGGGCATAATAACATATCTTATGTACTCGATTTAAAGTTGGCTTATAGTTGTTTGAGTAACAATCTAAGATTTAGCCTAGAGCTCAATTTCACCACTGCTACTGTTCTCAGGATATTTTTGCCAGGAATAGAGCATTCCTTTCATTGTTCTGAATGGGCTGTCTGCTGCCAACTAGTAACTACTTAAGTTACCAGGTATCCTTAAGGGAAATCTTTTTCAGGAACTCCTGGGAACTAAGAAGGTGTTAATACTCAAATGTCTAGCATTTCTCAATTCAGTTTCGGGACCATTTTAAATATTTATTGAAGGTCAGGCAAAACATTATATAATAATTTCCCATTCTGCAGAATTCTTAAATTACCATACTTCTAATAACAAAGAGAAAATATTCATCTTGCCAGCAAAATTTAATTCTTCTAACACCAAACTTAATTCTTCCTTCTGATGAAGCATTCATGGTGTGATGTACTTACGGGAGCAATCAATATAAAGCACCCGGTTTCAAAAAGCTTGGCCAGGTATGCTCTAATTGACTCAAAGCAAATTTTAATGCAAATTTTATATGTCAACTATGAACAACAGAGTTGTAATTTTATTTCTAATATATTTATTACAAATACATTTTTGGAGACTTTTAATTTTGAGTTGATGTTATGCCAATGTTTCTTATCACCTGTGATAGACATATATCCATAGGTATAGGAAAAGCCAAAGGAAAGTCAAACAGTACATAACAATAATTATGAAGGCCATATTAACCAGATTAGATCCTTTCATAATCACTGTTAATTTTCCTTTCTCTTACAAATGACCTAAATGAACTATTCTATTTTAAATTACCAACTATTTCCAATAGTTCCAATAGAACTATTCTATTTTAAATTGCTGCTTTACTATGACAATTGGTAAAAGGTCCAACTGATTTTCTGACCTCAACTTTTATTAATTAAAACCACAATGAATCATAACTCACAACCAAGTACCCCTAAACGCTTTATAGTGATACTCTCCTTTTCTGATCTTTTAAAAAAGTTGCTGATTGCTATTTAGTAGCAATAACTTTTAAAACAATCATTATCTCAAAAATAGAATCTAATATAAAGATGATCAAGATCACAAATGGAGCTTACCTGAATATTTGAATACATTAATAATTTAAATGCAATTATTGAATGTCCATGTGAATACCAAGTGAAGTTAGGTTTCATTATCTGCTTCTTTGGCTTTTATATGAGAATATCTATCCAGTGAGTTTTAGAAAATGTTTTTAGAATCTTAAGTAGTTTATTGAAAAGAAAATATCTAGACTCTTCCATTTTTATTCTTCATGTTGAACAAAAAGCTGCATAAGACCTTCATCAATCTTCAGGATTTAGGCACAGAGCATTCTATTATTCTGGGACCAAAGTACACAATTTATCTTCTGAAATTAAAAGCCCTTCTGAAAACTACTCTTCCTATTAAAGTTAATTAAAAGATTAAAAGATGAATTCTGATTATAAACATAACAAATTTTAGATTCCATTTATTTTATTTATATGAAACTTAGAAATGAAAAACATAAAAGGTTTGCATTCCCAAATACAATTGTTTTGTGACCATATATTCTCAAATTTTCTGAAGACTGTTTTCTAAACTTTTGAATTAAACACATTTTAAAATTTAGAAAAGATGATTTTGTAGTATCAGATTAATTTAGTGTTCAAATCCATGTAATTATTTGTCTATTTCCATGGTTTTGAATCATATCAAATGTCAACCAATTCTTTATAAAATATTCCCTTTTATATAAAATCAGCTGACAGTAGATGATGAATAGAGAATAAAATAATTTGTATATTTTAGTTTGAGTACAAATTATAATTTTAGTTTACAAAATTATATAAACAACTCTATCATAGGTCTATCACATGGCAGGCACCATTGTGGACATGAGAACACAGTGTTGACTAGACATATAAGGCCCTGCTCTCTAAGTTTTACAGTTTGTATCTTTTAAAAGTTTTTATGCCTCATACTTTGAAGTTTCATTTGTGTCCAGTTTGTATCTAAAACTCTCAAATATTTCTGAATTATGAGAATATTTACAGAACTACTGAAAGAAGTTCCATCTTGGATGATTAACTATCACTCAAAGTGTGAACAAAAATGAAAAGACGGAGAATAGATTGCAGAAAAGTTTAATAAACAAACTTTTCCAAAATTTTATGATCTCAAATTCCTAATTTTCTTTCTAGTAATCTGCATTTTTCCCCCTGCTGACAAAGATGCAATTATGTTCAAGTGGTTCTTTTAGTTGTATATATTATATATCACAAAGTATACAAATATATTGCTCAAATTCTTCCTTTACATTCTAGATGGAGTTGTGTACAATGTTTAAGGAACACATTTACTGGTATCAGATAACTATTTTATCATCAACCACATTTTCTAAGAAAGGATAGAAAGTCATCATTTAAGGAAACATATTTGTTTTTTCTGTGTCCTAGAAGGATTATTTAAATCATTATAGAATCTGATAAAAGAAATGGATAAACCTAATCATGTAACTAAGTTTCACCTGCAGTTTCACCTTTGAGAAGGTAGAAAAGTAAAACAGAGGAAAACAAAAATATCTTATCAATAGCAACACTAAACACTGAAAGAATAAATATACATTAATTCTATTTCAATACACCATATGGATTATTTACTGCTTAATTTAAAACACCCATATTTTTACATAGTAGGCTACCACTGTGGTTTAAATTTTTCTTAAGAGTTAGAAAAATGCAAATCTGTAAACAGAAATTCTCAACTATAAGAGGAACTTATATCCACACTGTTGCCACCTTTGCCAAAACACATTCATAATAAAGCATCACCTTTGGGAGCACCGGGCACCCTTCCAGTTTCTCAGAGAAACTTGAAATATGATGAAACTTCATTTTTTATTATTCTTTCTTTCCACTTTTTATAATTTTGCATAACCAAAGTCATATTTAAAGGATGTTTCTATACTCACCTCCTTGAACGAAAATTAGTTTCATGGGCAGAGTAGATGGTGCAGAGACAAAATTGAGGTAATGAAAGTGGACATGTACGCCCCTGAGGGGAACTCACAGGGGTGCACGCGAAGCCTCCCTGCACTGTTATGTGGCACCAATGACAGAATCCTTGGATTTATAATAAAAAAACCAAAAGACAAACACACGCGCATGCGCACAACAATCCTCAACTACCGGGGAAATATTTAAGGTGAGTATGCAAGAAATGTAACTTGTCTTATAAAACCATGAACTTTCCCAAAGTAATTTTTATATATTTTATCAGCATTTAAACAAACATACCCATAAATAATACTACTGAATAATCATTTTAAAAGTAGCAGGGGTTTTCTTTTGAAAAGGGGAGTATTCTGGGATATTTTTAATGTACTAAGATACAAAACTTATTTTTTTATAACCATCACTAACATATTTTTTAATAATATCCAAACAGATATCTTTATTTTAACATATAGTTTTACCAATTTTCAGAAATAGCATATTTGTGGTATAAGTTATTAGCAAATAAAACTGGTTCAGAAATTTTTATAGTATATATTATTTCTGTCTTAGTTTCTTAAGCAAATTTAGTGAACTAAAGCCTGAAAAATTTGGAATGAATTAAAAACAGATTTCAAGTAGATATTCATTTACAAATTAAACTGTGGAGATTTACTTTAAAGTTCTATCACTCTATATTGTTATGCAGGCACTTTAAAAATAATTGTATCATTTCCTACCATCTAATTGTATGCTTTTAAATTTACACAAGTAAATTACAACAAGTACAAACAGGCATGATTGAGAGAAGAGTTGTGGAAAAGACTTTATGCCAAAATAAATATATTAAAAAAAGTAAAGCTCATGTATAAAATTATCCTCACATTTTTGGCATAGAGATGTAACACTGAAGATGTTAATAAAATATTTACTAGGACCGAAACACACACACACACTGGCTCAAAAAAAAAATCTCTGTGTGTGTGTGTGTGTGTGTGTGTGTGTGTGTGTGAGAGAGAGAGAGAGAGAGAGAGAGAGAGATTTGAGAGAGATTATTTACACTACGGGCATTGCAGGCTTGAAAGAGCAAAGGAAATGGAATCAAAGTAAAATATTAATAATAAGGATTCAGGAGGGCAGCTGTCTGAATCCTCCTTTAGTGCCTAAAACCACCTGAAGTTCTCACAAAGCTTTTCGAAAGGATCAGCTCATAAACATTGTCTCTACAGAGTATTTTCACTTCAGGAACTTTCCAAGTTTCGGGATCAGGACTGCCCTGCTCTAAAGGGAGCCAAAGCATTGTTTCAGGATTGTATCAGCCGCTGTGCTTTTCGTTCTAATTAGTGGTTAATTAATTTTACTTATACCTTCATCAAAATTTGGACTCTTCCTATGACACACTACTATTCTGTCTGAAGCAAAAGGAAACTTGTCAGCCCACTGCTCTCAAACATGCAAGGCAACGCAAAGAAGATTTTGGTGATGCTGGTTGTGGTAAGGAAAAAAAGAGAGTTAAAATAATCATTATTTTCAGCAATCCTTGCCCTGGCCACTGCAGTCATTGTTTCTGAAACAATATCCTCACCAGTTAAGTATAAATACAAGATGTAACTCCCTAGGGCTCTGTCCCCAAAGAACAATTTTCACCAGAACCCAACTCCAACAGAACACATACTTTCACACGAGCTCGCGAGCACGCACACGCCAGGCTTTACCTGTTTTTATGCCGAGTCTTGAGCAGGTTTCTTCCAAAGGGAGCCATGGTCGCCAGGCAAGTGAACAGCAAGGGCCTGACCCCCAAGTTATCTGAGGGTGGGGGGTAGGGGTGTGCGGATTTCTGCGGGGCGGGGTGCAGGGTGCAGGGTGCAGGGTGGAGGGCTGGAAGCTTCCTCCGCTCCTCGGAGGTTCCCGGCTTTCAGCTCATTAGCAGCAGGCTGAGAGTGGCTGGAAGTTGTGCAACTCGCTGCTTAACTTTGAACTGCGGGGTGGTTGTGGCTGCTGCACCTTTGGAGACCTGCCCAGCTTCAGCCTAGAAGAAAGCATTTGGAAGCAGGAAAAGAAAAAAATAAAAAGAGGCAGAGGAAGGGAGGGGGCCCCTATTGTGTTCTGTCCTTATTTGCAGACTTGCTAAACTTTAAGAAGTGCCAGCGCCACGGGCGTGTTAGTGCCTATGGAATGGGAATTCCACTCCTTTCGGAAACCCCCTCCTCCTTTCCACACCCGCCACACAGGGCGCACTGAGCACCGACGTGAAAGCATTCAGAGCAAAGGCCCCCACCCCCTGCAGCTCCAGTCTGAAAATAATCTGATCCCGGCCGGTTGGAGTGAGGGCCCACAGCTCCGCCCACGGTTTCACCCCAAATTCCCCTGCCCGGGGTGCTGGCAGCGCCCCGACCCTCGCGGAGGGGGAGCGGAGCTGGAGACGGGGCCAGGGGGTCACCGCCCGAGGGGAGCCAGCCCGGGCCAGGACCCGGGGGCTCCCCCTCCAGGCCGCCACCCCCTTCTAGTTCATCTTCCAAAAGGTCACGGGCCGAAGGGCTCTGATCACAGCACTGGCCCAAGAGCCAGTCGAGGTTTGGGGTCCGACTTTCGAAGCTTTTACGCGGGCCCCCGGCCCTTCTTGGGCATTCGCTGCGCCTTTGGGGGCCTGGGAGTTTGCAGGAAGACCCCACTGTTTGTTCCCGCCGCTAGCTGAACTAGTGGAGTGACAGCGCGCGCCTGGGGGACCTCAGGGAGCTGGGCCCGCGCAGCCGGGGTCAGGCGTCTCCGCGTCCCGCTCCGGCTCGAACCCGCGACCCTGGCGGAGCTGGACGGGGGCTGCGGTGCCGGCTCCCTGCGCGGCGCCCCCGCGCTCCCCTGAGCCCCAGATGCTGGGGAAAGCGCTGCAGGCGGGCAAAGGCCTGCAGAGTTATCCCGGGACGTGTTTCC